TTATCCAACAAATTGAGAATATTTAGCTGGGACTATGGAAGATTTTTGTGCTGACAGAGCAGGAGAGCAGCAGCTCTGGACTGAACAATTGGACTTTCACTGACACTCTGACTTGCTTTAGTCATATAGTTTTTGCCTGCCTTTTACATATTAAAATCCTGCCCTGTGGTATGTTGAAAGTCTCAGATGTGTGATATACTGTACAGAATGTGTGACAGAATTGAGTATCAGTGGTGGTCAAATATGTATTCATTAACCACACATCTACACACATTAACCACATCTACAATTTAGCTTCAGCTCTTCTTTTGTCTTTTTAGTTAATATAGTCAGAGCCTTATTTTCTCCTTTCAGTGTCAGCCTTCATCCTGTGACAGTTTAACTGAGCTGGCAGCCAGACAAGACACAGCCACTCATAGCTGCCCCCACCCCCCACCTTTGCTGCCTTTCTGGCCCTACCCAGGGAATTGGGGAGAGAATGGGAGGGGTAAAGGTGAGGAGACTTGTAGGTTGAGATAAGAACAATTTAATAATTAGAGTAGAATAGAATTAAAATAATAAGAATAATAAGAGCAATAACGATAACAACTGTATATGAGGGATGCAGAGTACAGTTGCTCACCCCCTGCTGATAACGACCCCAGAGGAACAAAAAGGAACCCCGAACCTGAAATCGCAATCGCGGAAAAGCGAGCCCGAGCAATTCCTGAGAGAATCCCCCCCTTTCCAGTCAGCCCTGGTTCATATGCTGAACATGATGTAATATTGTCTTGAATAACTTATTGTCACATCCAACTGTCAGTTCTGGGTTCCACTAACTGCTGCACTTTCCTTCTTCATCCCCCTCCCTTCCAGTCCTCTCTTCTGGGAAACTGCCCAAGCACCGTGTCCTTGTAGTTATCAACATTGTTCTCATAACAATCCCCACTGAAACCAAAGCGCAGCGCTTTCTAGCTACTAAGAAGAAAATTAACCCTATCCTAGCAAAAACCGGGACACATCCAAATAATTGTCAGGCTTCTAATATTTTTGTTTTGATGTGCTCTTTAACTTTCCGTAGTTAAAGAACTGGTTGCATTGTGTAATCACATTACATTTGGATATGCTTAACTGGGGAGGGGAAATGCAAAATGTTTCTAATATTGAAGACAAGAACTAAATTTAAAGTATGATTGAAAAAGTAATGGTAGATATTCAAGAGAGTGATAAGAATTAGCATAAAGCTTCTGTTAAACAAAAGGACTATAAAAGTCACTTTTGCATAACCTTTGTTTGTGTGCAAGGAATTTGGATCAGGAAAGCAGCTACCCAACCTCCTATGGCTTGGTGATTTAGGAGAAGCTGAGTTGGTGCTGAGGGTACAGTGATATTTGTATGGAGGACTAGCATGTGCATTGATCCCCCTGGCCTGCCTTCCATCTCTTTTAGCTTTCATTGAAACTCTGTTTTGCTGTCTGTGGTCTATTCTGTGCCCTTTCTGCCACTTCTTCCAACACCCAACATAGAAGAGCACCACATCTTCTGGAAGATGGCCTTTAAGGAGCTGTAACTCCCAGCTGAGTAATACGAGTCTGCTGCTGAAAACAGCTGGTCTCAGCTGCTCTTGCTGACAAGCAGTAGAGAGATTTCTGAGAGTTCACGTGTACTTCTTTGAAATAAGGCCAGATTAAAACACTTTGACTATGAGTACCCAAAATCCTAATTTTTTCTTTTGCTTTTATTTGGGCAGGGAAATGTATTAAAAACTTACCTCTTAAAAGGAAATGAGGGCAGGGACAAAGGATACTGTTCTTCACATCCTGGAAATGGCAGAAAACGAGAGAGTTGAAAACCCTAAAAAGTTAAATACAACTTAAAGTTTTGGTCTTTGGGATTTGATGACAGCATTCCCTGAAGAATACAGCAATCTATTTGTCACTAAAATGTAGCTAAGTTTAAGCTGACAACCATCTTAGTAATTTTTAGATTTCTGTGCAATACTATATGTCCTGGTAATGATCATACGGAAACGAAGTTGTAATTCTAAAGTACAGTAGATTTTTTTACCTTATATGGTTTTATTAGCTAGACAGTTAACTTTAAACCATGTACGTTATACATATTTAGTGTTACTCTGAAAATGTTCAGCTGTGAAGCTCCAAAGAGTATGGGTTTCACAACACTTGTGAAACATTAACTTTACTAAAATTAACATTAATTAATATTAGTTTTAGAGTAATTGCATTGAATCAGCCAGTTCTGTTTCAGATTACAGCCTAAAATTGATTAGAATAATCAGAGTATTAAAACATTTTTGAGAAGATGAGGGCTTTGGATTCAGACATTCTGCAGTGTGCAGTGTAATGAGAGGAAGTTACACATGTTAGTGCCACTTCGTTTAAAGGGGTAGATGGAGGTGAGGGCTGGGGAAGCGATGGAACAGGGTTGGAGCTATATTAGATGTTTCTGTCTTTATCTGACTGTACAGCTGGGTGCTGATTATTGCATTAAAAGGCTTGCATTTTACTTGCATCTGTATATTAATGCACTTATCTGCTCTATGCAGCAACACATACAGAAGTTCAAGTTCTTAGGAAAAATTTATCATGCAAAGTAAAATGTATGCATCCCAGTGGGCACCACTGGCAGATAACTTGTGTGCAATGATATTATGTACAAATTAGATTCATTACTTTTACTGTCCATCCTTCAGGGAACAACCCATCTTCAGCACCCGAGCTCACGTCTTCCAGATTGACCCAAACACTAAGAAGAACTGGGTTCCCACCAGCAAGCATGCTGTTACTGTGTCCTACTTCTATGACAGCACAAGAAATGTCTACAGGATAATCAGTTTGGATGGCTCAAAGGTAAGTTTTATTTCAGAAAACTTTCTTGCTTCATTAGTTTTTGTATTTATTTTCTAGTCTGATATCCTTCATGTGTATTCTCAGGTGCTTTTGTCATTATCTGAGTAAGTTTCCTGACATTGTTAAAGTGACAACACTGCCTCTGCATGTTTGAAATGTTTTGTTACGTGTTTGAGATGTTTTGTTACATGTTTCAAGTGTCTCTTCAAAAACACTATTTTCCATGCGTTTGTATTTGATAAATCTGGTGTTGAATTTAAGTGATGACCTTAGTTAATATTCTGAGCTGGCTAGAAAGACATTCCTTGTTAGATGCACTAGAAATTACAAATGGTGTTACAATAACCTGTTTTCATCTCCGCATTCAATGATCTATCAATATAATTGGCTTCAGCATTATGAAGGACATCTGTTCAGTACCCATAATCACTTAGTAAATCCTTTGTTACGTAATCTTCCAATTTTTACTGTAGAGAATGTGAGGATTCCTTCTTATTAAAGCTCTCCATGGTAAGCTTTTCTCAAAACTCAGTTGGTTTGGGTTTTTTGTTGTTGTTGGTTGGTTGATTGATTTTTTTTTTTTAATTAGGAAGGCTAGTGTGTTGAACTGCTGTTGTAAGAAACCTTGTCTAAGAAATTCATTTGACTTGGAGAAGACACTTGACTGAGTGTTAAACCAGTAACTTTATAAACAACAACATGTTAGAAAACTCTGCAGTAAGGACATTAAAGATATACAGAGTGTAAACAAAAGCTGTAATCCTTTCAAGAGTCTTTCATTTGCAACTTCTGGAGATGCATCAGTTCATGATGGCTGGAACTGAAATACTCTGTTGTTGTATATATATACTACAGAGGATAGCAGTATTCACAGAGATTTTGTGGCTATTTATTGAAAGCTGAAAAATATTACCCTGCATTTTTTAAAAAAATACAGATTATTGCTGCTTTGAATGAGGAAGGAGAATTTCTATCATAAAGAAGTATACAGAAATATATCTCATAGTCAAAGATCTCTATATGATGCTACTTGAAGTGATTGAGACTCTGGCATCAAAGTCTACCAGAATTTTTCAAGTTTAAGTTTTACTTTTTTTCTGCCCTTCCCAGCCTTCCTTCAGATGATTCTTTTGTTTCTGTCAAATAAGTAAAATACCTTTTGTGTGACTGTTTATAAATAAAGACTTTGGGATTGGAACTAGATGCTGTATGAAATCAAGTCTACCAGTTGTAATCTGTAGCACCTTAACAGAGTCCTTATTCTGGTATCTACTGGGGTTCCTCTGCCTTTGTCCAAAGCTGTAAGTGGCTTCTGAGTTAAACTGTCAAGCAATTGTGCATCTATTTATTTGTTCTTTTGTCTACTGCAGTGTTTCCTTTACCTTTGCAGTACTATTGGCAAGGTATATTGATAATGCAGTCTATCACTTTTATTTACTCTCTGTGATTGCTGCAATCCTACTGGTGTTTTCGTCCAGGTGTTAGATGTCTCACTAGAGTTTTTTTTTTAATTTTTAATTAAAACCCCATCTTTTTTAACATGTCTGCATATATACAATATAGTATGTACAAAGGGCTAAATATAAATATAAAGCATTCTTAAGTTTGGAGTGCATCCAGATAGCATCTCTGCTATATGGCATACAGCTGGGTGTCAGTAACACTACGGGCATCTGAGCTTACAATGCTTTGTGTTGTTGATTGGTGTCACAGAAGCACTGAACATGCAAAGTAGAAAAAGCTATGCAATTTTAATTCTCCCATTTTAAGTTTTGAAGTGAAACTGAATAAAGATTATTTTTAACAAATTACCAAATTTTACACTGAAAATGTCTCAAATATGTATATTGCCAGTGGCCAAAAACACTTGTTGAACCATACTGGTTTTGAAGCTGCCATGCCCCTCCCTCGGAGGGAATAGGTCCAGCCAGTTCTTATTGTATGCCTTGGTGCTGGTGGGGTTTACAGCACCCTGTAGGTTTGTACAGTGGAGAGAATGATGTCCATGTGGCTGCTCAGTGACAGCAGCTCAGGTGCTGAGCAATAAGTCAGTAAGTGATGGAAACTCACAGGTTTGTTCACTTAGGCTACAGTAAGCAAAGTTTGAGAGAGATATACTTTACATCTGAGTGATAATCCTATTTCTGTCCCACAGCCTCTCATCCCTTTAGATCAGTGGGTTTCAGTAGGATTTCTGGATTAAATTTAACTTCTGTTTAACTGATTATCTGAAAGTCATCAAATCTTTCTTCTTGAAAACAAAAGAACATTTTTAAGACATGATCTTCACTGGCCTCTGAGGGATGCTATTGTACATTGCAGATTCTCACTTGAATTTCCTTGTAGAGGTCTTTGGTGTATTTGGAGAGAGGGGTTTTTTCCATATTCCATATCATCAGGTCTGTGAGCCAGATTCAACTGAGATAGGTCATATAGAAGCACATTCTGCTTATTTTTAAAGCATTCTGTGTTATGTTGTTTTCTGAAGCTACAGTCTCCTCTTAAAATACCTTGCACAAAAAATTATGCATCTCCCTCTAACCTGACTCCAGAAAATGTTCTGGGACTGTAAGGCAGTCAGTGTACAGGCCATATTTTATAGTCACATACAGTATCTGGATCCCTGTTACCCATGGCAGTTTGAGCCTGATGCAAATAATCTGATAGAACTTGAGACTGGTTTCTGTGACCTCCTGAGTTAATACCTTTTATGTGACCTTTTTGTCCTACCACTCCAGGAATCAAGAGAAAGCCTGAAAAGCAAAATTTCTTGTGCCATATGACATGACAACATTGAGCAGTTGTTGCTAAGGCTTTCAGTTCTCATTAATTATATAGTCATTTCATAGCTTCTTGGAAAAATGTATTTTAGTACTTCTTTCTCCTAGGTGATGGAAGGAAACCTCCATTATTTCTCCAGTAATACTGCAGACAGACACACACTAGGATTATTCCCAGAATCCTGCTGTCTTTTCCATTCAATCTCTGGCAGTCACTGAGAAAAGAAAGGAGATCAAGTAATGAGGTTCCTGCAGTACTAGTTATCTCTCTGATAATTTTTCACAGATGCAAGATAGGAGAAAAACCCTAATAATTTGTACTTATCTAGAACAAGAGAAGACTCTGGAAAAGAGTGGTTTTTCAGTCTGTAGGTTCCTTGAGCCCTGTAGATATTATTTCTGAGTCAAGTCTCCCGTCAGTGTTACTGCAATAGATGATCTTTACATTTTAATGACTGTAGAATAAACTAGTCACACATTAAAGTGATAACCTGTTTAATGCTAAATACAGGCTTTATGTAAGGCCTGTAAGTGCTGGTCTTCAGTGATCTTCCTTTGAAGAAGTTAAAAAATACTTTCTGTCTTAATTATTGTTGCCATCAATTTTAACACAAGATAAAATATAATATTTGACCACGGCTGTATATCTTGCAGCTGTTGGTTTTGCAGTTCAGTAAAACAAACAACTAAGACACATGCCTTATTTTCTCATAGCTAAACTAATATGAAAGGAAAACAGGAAAGCTATTTTACTATTCCAACAAAATCTTTTTAACAAAATCAGTTTTCTTCAAAAGCTAAATGTCTGCCTGTCAGATTGACTCTGTTCTGTTTTCAAGATATTCTTGTACATTTATACTAACAACGTTCTTTAAAGTTGATGAAATATTTGACACTTGTTATATTGGTAACTCTACAGTGAAATCCAGAGTAGAGGAGAACAGTTAAAGCAGTACTTGCTTGAGTAGACAAGACAAGCTTAGTTATAAATTCTAATTTAAAAAATAAATCCTTTTTTTTTTTAAGATGAAGATATGAACAATTAATATCTAGTACTTTCCAGAAGTAGCTGACACTGACTGTGTCTGCAGTATGCTCTAGCATTACACTTTTTAAAACCACACTTAATTTAACATGTGAGAGATCTAGCATACTAATCCTTTTAATTTGGAGAGGATTGAAAGCCTTGATTTCCTTGTAAAATTGGTAAATCTAATGAAAGGACTCCTTTTTGTATTACTGGGATCTGAATGTGGTCTTCCCAGTGAGAAACTTTCTGTCTCTGGATTAACACTATCCACTGGAATGGAGCCTCCTTATTTCGGTCTACTGGAAAATAAAGGAAAGAATCACAACAACTCTTTCTCAATAGTTATTTTTTAAAAAGTTGACTTTCTGTCTTACTCTCTTGCAATGAAGCAGTTTTGGCAGTCACCAGCCTAAATGCAGACTGCTGTCAAAACAGATATCCCATTCTGGCCCAGGCAGCCTGTCCTGGGTTCTCTCGTGTGCAGCCAGCCATGTGGTCAGCTGAAGCAGTGAGCAATCTCAGCTAAAAACTGTTTCATTTCTCCGAGGTTTTTCACTGGGTTAATTTGGAACCAGATATACCACTGTCACTGCCACAAATGCCAGTCCTGCAGGCTTTAAACCTGCCTGTTGCTTGGAGGTCTTAAGTTCGTCTCCTCAGAGTCATCTGCACTGAGGAAGTTATGTCCATGACATAATAACATACGCTTGCAAATCTGTGATACAAATTCAAATTAGTCAAGCAATGGATGGAATTAGGGATTAAGCAAGCTATACAACATAGCTAGAGCTTGAGGTGGGAGGAAGAATATTTAACTTCAAACATATTACTGTTAACAGCTTCTACAGCAAGAGAGATTGAGCATAAAGTGAATTTATGCAGCTCTGTTCTGGGCTTCCACCAGGTTATTTCAAAAGTGAGCTTCCAAGCACTAACAGTATACAAGACGTGGAGCAGCATATAAGAAAAAAAGAAATCCAGAACACCTCCTTTCCAAGAAGTTCCCCTCCTTGTCTCACATTATTTCTGCTGTCCTGTGTGGCATAGACAGCTGTTTTCTCTGAGGTCAGTTGCAGGCTGTAGTGTAAGCCTGCTGCCTTTATTTGTGCTCCAAACCTTATGCCTCAATAAAGGAGAATGATGTGTTACCAGTGACTTCACTGACCAGCTTCTCCTCTGTGAAAGTCTGGGGAGATGTTTTGTGGACAGTTAATGCTGGAGATGGTTTTCCAGTCTCTGATCACACAGCAAAACCTGTCCTTGACCTGATGAGGCTTGTTGGTTCAGTCATTCCAGATTTTTCCAGAAGTTGTTCAGTTGTAGCCAAAACTTGCATTTTGAGGCAAAGGTTATCAGAGAGAATTGCCTGTTTGATATTCTCAGCTACATCCAGATTTGCTCTTCTAATTTAATGTGAGTATAGTGTAACTATCAAAGCCATTACAGAAGATGCCAGTTTTGTTAGAATCACTTGTGCTGCAGTATCTTTACTCATCTTTCCACGTGTTGTGATACAATGTGTTCTTCTGAACTTTCTCGCGATACTCCTCTCCACCACTTCATCTGAGAATCACCATATGCACATGTTTGTGGGCTTAGCTGGCCCCTCAGCTGCAGATTTTTCAGGCTTGCTCTGTAGAATTCAAAGAAAAATTTATGTTGATGGGAGTTGTGCTCCAGTGCTACCCAAATCTCAGAAAAAACAAAGGGTGCTAAGTGAACTGCATAACTATTCATTTTAATATCCACCCAGGCAGCCATCTCACAGAAGCAGGACTGGATCTTGGGCTTGGGAGAACAGTACTTGGTCTCTGTGATGTTGAAGTTTCTCACTGATACCATCCTGAGAAAATACTGTTATTCTCTACACATCTGTACAATTCCTGCTACTGGAAGAATAAAAGAAAGATTTTGTTATTTATGACAGAGAAGATGGTTTGAACCCTGGGGATTTTGTTACTGCCCTAGGTTTCTTCAGTAATCACTGGCTTTAACCTGCCAGGGGTAAAGCAGGGATTGTGGTTTCATGGAATCAGGAAACACGCACACTGATGTTCAAAAGATTCCCAGCTCAGTACTATAAGACAATTGCAGTGGAACACATACTGACAATAATCTTTGGAGCACAGTAACTGGCATGTAAGAAAGCTTCTTGCTGAACTGTTCTGCTCACAGTGTGTGCTATTTTCTGGGAAGTTTTAAGGACACTCTCTTTCACGTGGGTGCTACAAAGCAGCAGTGATTCATGAAAAGGGCTGTGAATTATTTAGCGAATGTGGCTGAAATGCTTAGTAGCATCAGACAGATGAGAAAGCATGCCTGCGTTTCGCTTCAGATACATATATCTGGGTTTTCTTTCTCTTTCAATTTGGCTGGTTATAAACTGTACTAACCGTCAGTTTTTTAGTAAATTGGAACCCATTGGTGCCATTATAAGATTTTATCCTGACATTCTTTAAGTCACCTGGACAGTTCCACATCACAGATTTAGAATATGTTAGACGAACTTTAATGTGGTAGAAACACTGTTGAAATCCATGGTAAAACTTTAGTTGCTTTTCATGGAACCAGCACGTCATCTAATAGTTGCAGTTTTTTGTTTGCATTAGCAGAAGTTGCATGCTGGAGGATGTGCTTCTTCCAGCCTCAATATAACAAGAACTAGAGAAGAAGAATGATTCTAAGAGTAGGTCTTCATCTGTAGTTGCTATATGACCATGTCACTGCTAGACATGCTTGTGTGTATATAAAGGAAAAACAGATTCTTGTAATACAGAAGCTTAAAAATAAATTGTGTGTCTTGTTTTATTGCAGTTTTCTAGTGAGAATTGCATATGCAGTGGGAGTTGGGGGAATGCAACAGTGAAGCTTACAGTGGAGCTGGAGAAGCATTGCCTTAGGGGACAAAGAAATGCACTTGTGAGACAAAAAATGACTTTGCTAATTCTTCTATTCTGATCTTGTTGGCCTACGCAGATGCTTTAAAGGACTTTTTTTAGACTTGCTAACTAGTAAATGACTGCTTGCAATTGCAAACAGGTGCCCCCCTACAGCTTTTGCTCCTTTTACAGAGTATATGTGAAAATATGCTTTTGTAATTCAGCTGTGATTGAATTAGAAAACTGTTCCCTAGTTCCCAGTGTGCGTCTCATTCGGTGTACACAGATACTTGACTACAATATTGGCATTTTAAATTATGAGTAGTCTTAAAAAAACCCCAACAAACTCACAAAACCCCTTTTTTACAACTATTACTTTTTTTCAGGCAATAATAAATAGCACTATCACCCCCAACATGACATTTACTAAAACATCCCAGAAGTTTGGCCAGTGGGCAGACAGCAGGGCGAATACAGTCTATGGCTTGGGATTTTCATCTGAACATCACCTTTCAAAAGTAAGTATGACCAGTGGCAACCATTCAGCTAGTCAAGCGGCTTAAGAATATTTGATTCCTGCTTCTTGTATCTTGACTCAGTGCTCACTACTGTTGTTATTTAAAAATAGTTCATCAAAAAATATTCTGTATTGATCCATATAATGTAAAAAGACAAGTCAAAGTGTGATAGCTGCAAATTTTCTTTTAACTGATGGAAGAAAGGGGGGAGGTTTAAGCTATCACAGTATATGTTGTTAGTACTTTCCAATTACTCATTTGTTTGCTTTCTATTTTTTGAAAGTTGTTCTTCCATTACAGATTTTCGTAATAGAATTTCAAGGATTAAACAGTTTAGCGTTTCTTCTTTATTTAGATCTCCTAGGAAAGAAATTGTTGGTAGTCTTCAAATAAATTTTTGTCTTTTAAGCCACATTCACTTTCGTTTTTCTACTATGTAGTGCATCAAATTAGAGATATTTCAATGTCTGTAGGCTTAAAGTAAAGCTAGTGGGAAATCTATTCAGTGTAAAAGAAAATGACATTTTCTTGTTGGAATACAAAAGTTGAAATGTTTGCTAAAGAAACTCTATATCATGCATGTAAGTTTTTTTCTGGTATATTTGTTCAGGAGGGAAATACGCTTTATTCCAAGGAGCATTTTCAAAGTGATGGTATAGTTCCTCTGAGCACTCTTTCTACAATAGCTATTGCTATTGCTACTACTCTGGTAGATGAGTACAGGAACCTGTACAAGCCAGTATCATTTTTCTCCACATGAGGAATTTCAGTTTAGTTTAAGAACATGTCTCTATATTAAGCAGAGAATTTTCATCTTTGAAGTATACAAAAGATTCAGAAACCTGAGTACAATAAAAGGAATCTATAGTACATGTTTAAGTAAGGAATAATGATTGCCTTGTTATTAAAAAAAAAAAAAAAGAGTATCACACCAACCCTTTTGGGAAAGTAATGGTCACTATCCAAGGATAAGCTTGTACCTGTTAGGAAACCATTAAAATGAGAACCAGTACATCTGTTTTATTTGGACGAGTGTAAGATTTCTTCCTTTCATAATCAGATAGCTTTCATTTCCATGGAGCAACACAAACACGGGAAATTCTGAATTATACTAATACTGCATATGTGTTTGTGAACCTATCATTGCTTCAGTGAACTTGTGAACTTCGTTACTTACTTAATTGCTGTGTGTGTCCTAGAGGCACTTGCTTACCAGCATGGTAATAACTTGTTTTAATATTTCAATGGATTTAGCATAAATGCTAATTTACTTTGCTTCTCTCATAGACTAACTTGTTTTCCTTAATCACAGAATGCTTCTTTGGCAGCAAAGTACCATGCTGTAGTCATGCACATTCTGTGTTTGCCTGACTTCAAACACTAGGTTATCCTTGCCAGTGAAAGTATTTTGGGTTTTTTATGTGTCCTATCCTTGACTCTTTTCTTGCTCTCCCCATGTGGTACTTACTGTCTTCTCAATTGCAGTTGTCTCAATCCCATTCTTTCACTGTTCTTAAGTGAATGACTAAGAATTTTAAGTATGCTCTTGGCTTAAAACTTTATACTGCTGTCAAGAAAATAATCTGAAAAGCTATAGTAGATATTTTGTCTTAAGTGTATGTTTGATTAGCAGTTACTTAGATTGCTGTGTTTTATGAAGAATATGCAAATCTGCTGACAAAAATACCAAGTCACAGACTCTTTCTGAAGCTTATGGTGATGAACCCTCAGGACCTTTTCAGCAGACTGTTCCTGTTGTATTATAGTGTAGTCATCAAACTGATACTCTTGTGGGTTGAAATTACTGATCGTTGCTACTAAAATTCATAAAGGTAGAACTTCTTGTGTTATTTTAAAATTAACAAATGTATTTGATGGGGGAAGGAAAACTTTTCTTTAGATTGCAGTCTATTCAATCACTGGAGTTGGTGGATATGTTGGTCTTGGAATAAGAAAAGCTGAATTAGAAACCCTGGATCTGCTGTTTAGCTTTAGAGAAATCGCATCTGTATTCTCTTTCTTGTCTTCTCTCCCTGCTCAGATTACTAACTGTCACTTCTGTGCAATGGCATTGTAATCAGGTTTACCAGGGCACTCTTCTGTACACCTAGCACTGTAGGACATTAAATCTAATTTAGGGCTCAAAGTACTACTGGATATTAGTAATATGGCTAACAAATAAACTGTATTAATGGATTTGTTCAGAAACAGGATGCTTCTAGAAGTTGCCTTAAAAATTTATTCTTGAACTTCTTTTCTGTATTTGATTTATCAAAGTCCTTAAGTGAACAGCCATGCTGTATGTAGTTTGTTTTGCAGTAGTGTCTCTGGGCCACAATGAACTATTTCAAGTTCCAGTGAGCAAAAGACGGCCTGCAACCACAAAACCCTTAGTCTAGTCTGTGACTGATTTCAACAGGTTAATGAAGCAAATAATCAGAGTAGGTAGCATAAACTGTTTATTCTCAGTTCATAGTCTGCTTAGCTTATAGTAAATGTTTTACTTTTGGACTATTCATCTTTGGTTCATGTGCCTTTGTCCTCCAAAACTAATTGCTAGGGTAGAGTGCCACAGAGGTAGCCTCTTTCTGTCCGGTCATTGTGACTGAGAATTAGCGGAGTGAGAACACCTCGTAGAAAAATAATGACACTCTAAATCAACCTTGCATACAAAAAGTGAAGAAGAAAATCAGTTAAACACTTATCTTCATCAGACCTTTTCTCAATATGTTAGGTGACAAATTCACCTCAAGATTGTTCCATCGGAAGTCAGTGATACCTGAAGGATGATTCATATTTTGAAGAGTATTCCTTTTCACAGGATCAGGATTTTTTGGCAGAGTCCCTCTCACTGCTGCAGTAGGAGGAACAAAATACCCCATGATTTTCAGAAAAAAACTGAGATTACTTTCTCATTCAGAATAGAAGTCTGTGCTTTTATAGTATCCTGATGTGTGAGAAGAAATAGTCCTTTTCAGGTTTGCTGTCTGCCTTTCCTGTTTGAATTAGTTGACCTGATTTATTCCATATAACTTAAGAGTATGCTAAATGGCAAAAGGGCCACCACAGATACTTGTAAGAGCCTTTTGTAATCTCCCTGCACAACATTTTATCTTTTCCTTAAAATATATTGTCCTCCAGAGAACCTTCCCTTTCATACAATGAGATCTCATCTTTATTGTTCAGGAATTTTATGAAGAGATTGCTATTATCTATCACATGACTATCTCAAGGAATTCTTGAATAATTTTGTTAAATTTAAATTGTTGAGTAAATTTGTGAAAATTTCCACTACATTAGTCTTGCTGGCTTTCTTAGTATATTATCTTTTTATCTGTCTGTGATACAGAAGATCACATTTTTCCACAGTTTCTACCCCCGTGATACAGAAGATCATATTTACTGCCTTATATGACTTCAGCCATTTATTCTAAACCTCAGCATTATGCTTTCTATTTACCAATCCTGTGGTCTTAAAGCTGATTTAAATCATAGGTTATCCATCAGATTTTGAGGTCTATGTACAAGTCTTAAATAAGGGTCATATAGTTCTGGAGGTCTGTTGCCAATGTTATCATCTGTTCTGAGACCTTTTTTGATGCTGGATTAGACTTTCAGGGTGCTATCTTTTGTCTCCTTCAATATTCATGAAATGTATGCATTTAAATAACCTGAAATATAGGATACAAGTGGAGAGAAATTTTATTTCCTCAAATACTAACAGCCTACCAGGAGAAGTTTAAAAGACAGTAAGGTTTTTTAGGTCTTGCATAGCAAATGAGGTTCTAATTGGAAGTAGCTGAAGAGACTGTGTCACACAAAGGGTAGCCTTTGTCCCTTCTAAATACATGTAGTGCGGAACAATTTCTTTGTATGCTGCTGCTGGAGAGATTTAGGACTTGGTGAAGCTTCCAACTTTTTGCAGAATCATTTCAGTCTTAAGCTGATCATAATAAGACAATGTTCTGTATAAAAGCAGTAGGAAATAAAAACAAATGCTTGGCTCGTATAGCAATTATTGTAGTGCCAAGTTGAGATCTATGAAGCAAAATTTTTCTCTAGCCAGAGAAGCTAGGACCTATTCTTAATAAAGTGATTTAATCTCTCAAGTTTAGTTGTGCATGTATTTCTAAATTGCTGCTCTAAATTGCTCTTTTTACTGAAAGAGGTACATGTAGCATAGAAATCAAGCTTCATATGGCATTTCAATGTACAGTTCATTAATTTAGTGTTTGGTATATGCAAGTGCTTACTTCAATGAATTTGTTCTGCAACTTGATTGATATCCATGCACAACCAAGAAAAGAACTCAACTCAGTATTCCCACTGCTGTTTTCCTGATTAGCTATTGAAATTATAAATGCTGTTAAAATTTGGGAATAAATCAGTATTGTTTTGGTCATAAAAGAATGAAGACCATTGAAAGCTCTCGGCTGATAGTGACCGCAGTAGGCTTCAGAAGCAGATCATTTATTGTCAAAAGTAAATCTTGAATCTGAAAGCAGCTGTGTAAGGCAGCTTGTCACTATTATTAGCCATTCCTGATGTGAGTTTTTTCAACAGTATCAGACCAAATTTGTTGCATCATAATTTTCCTGACATATAAACAATGTACATTATGTCTGAAAGGTATATCACTGTGTAACTCACTTAAATGAGTATCTAATAAGGAGAAAAAATTTAAAATTCTACTGACAGAATTTGACTTTGTAAAATGTTAAGTACAGCATTCTGTTCTGCATGTAATGTACTGCTTCACGCCTACTCTTTCTCTTTTTCCCTTTTTTTTTTTAAACATATGCACCTTCAGTTTGCTGAAAAATTTCAGGAATTTAAAGAAGCTGCACGACTAGCAAAGGAAAAATCCCAAGAAAAGATGGAGCTAACAAGTACACCCTCTCAAGTGAGTCTTGTTGCCTGCTCTAAGCCTGGTACTTCATATCTGTGTTACTTACTGATTGTATCTTAGACACGTGTTAAAAATGAATAGGATACTTCCCAATTACCCTGAACACCCTCAACAGTCAGCTTGAAGTGTCAAGAAGTCTAAGAATACATTTAACATACACCACAGAAGTGTCAAAGGGGCTTGCTTTAAAATAAAATTGGCCTTCTATTTATTCCTATTACTGTCTTTGAGTTTTGTCCAGAAAATGTGTAAACATGGTGAACAGTTATGTAAGTAAATTATAGTAAACACCTTTTGTGCTTTTTCTTATTGTATCTATGAAGCTTCAGGCTGTGCACTGTAAGGGACTTTTATCAAAGAATCATTACAACAAAAATCAAAGTTAAAACAGCAAACTATTTTTACTTGTTTCCGATTGTATAGTATTCACTTGTGAAATGTGTTGAAAGAAGATGACACATTCATGTGCTGGTTCTGGAGTTTTATTATGGTTAGCCATGATGTAAAAAAGAGTTTATAAAAGGTATCTCAAAACATAAACTAGGTTAATATACGCCTAACAGGAGGATAAATTAATATAGTCACATCTACTTTAGTCATGCCTAAAATTAATTTACTTGAAAATGAATACTTTCAGCTTGCTTTGAAAAAGAAACTGCATGAGGCTTTTACGCCCCTCCTCTTCTGCCCCCCCACCCAGTGTTTTTTGGCTCTGTGCGTAGCTTTTTGCTTTGTTTTAAGCAACTGTGAAGACAAAGGTAATTCCTTTTCTTTGATGATGAAGCAGGTTTAAAACTACAGCAGAGGTTCCTGAGTTGAGTCGGATTAATGCAGCTGAGTCTTTTTTCTGGGGAGTCTTCATTCACTGAATCAGTGCATCTCTTGAGTGCTTTGCACTGGAATATGCTCCTGATCTTTGATGGAACAAGGATAGCTAGAGTCTGCAACATGTTTTACAGTTTTGTTGCCACCAGAAAGCTACATCTGGTGTCCTTCCAGGAGAAGTCAGTGGAAGCCACATGAATATACACAATGAAACAACCTTATGTTGTTTTCCCAATAGGCATTTTGCCCAAGTGCTATGTTAGCTTTTGCTTATGGGAAACTGCCTTCTCTATTGTAACAGAAGAAAAATAAGGCAGTCTTTTTTAATTAGTTTTCTTGACAGTTTCTAAATTTCTGATAAATTCCATAAATAAACACAGAGATAATGGAAACAGGTATTTCAGTATTATAACCTGATAGACACTTGGCTTTATAAACGGTGAAGTGCTTCAGCCAGACCTCCAGTTACTTGATATTAGAAGCAGAACAATTACTCTGCTTCTCTTTTGCCCTGTTGATTAATAGCCAGAAGTTAAATCTGACACTATTGAATGGAGTGACTTATTTGCTTTGGATGTAGATTTTAACTACTTACTCAGAGACAAGAGGCTTTCATCTAGCAGCTGCCCAGCATTAAGGCTTTCTCTTAAACTGTATGAGCTTATTACTATTGTTCATTTTCCTATACAGATTTCCTTTTATACTTGGAACCTAACATTTTATGCTGTAGGCAGTTACAGAAATGTTACCTTGAGCAATTCTATAATGCACATTGAGAGCTGCAATTTAATTACTGCACACTTAAAAATAATTTCATATTCAGGCCTTACTTTTCATCCCTTGGCTTTTTACTGTGTTGATAAGTTAGCTTATTATTCTGAAAGATACAGTTAGTACAAGTGCTGACATATCAGCATAATAGTCTTCACATACTTAATGCTTCTCATTAGTTCCCCAGAGAGAAGGGAGTTTAATCAGGAACTTTGGAATTTGGAGCAGATGAGAAGTAATGGCTTCATGGCAAACTGCAGCACTTCCATGGTGCGGGGGTTCATTCAAAGAGATTTATGACTAGGGGGAGGATGGGCGCTTAGTAGTGGGGAGGGAAGGAGGGACAGTAGCGACATTTGAAGGAGCACTTGCTGTGATTTTGATCATCTGCCAAAAAGTGGCTGCAAGGCAAATAATTCAAGTGTTGCCCTTCTCAATCATTTTTTCCTTTTGTGTAGTTATTCTCTGCAGAGAGAGAGAGTAAAAGAGGAAGGAGATATTTTCAGTGGCCAGTCAAGTGTTCGCGGGAACCTGGCTTTTTTAGGAAGCTCTGACAGGAAAGGTGTTGGGAGGTAGTGTGTGAGTAGTGAGCTCTGTGTTGGTAACCCAGTTAGCCACAAGTGTCAGTCCCTCTGCTCCCTTGGACTTGCAGATATCCTTCTGCATTAAATTAATAGTAGGTAGGAAGATACTGCATATCAAAACTGGAAAATGTACATGTCAAATAAAACGTTACATTTCTCTGGTACTGCTTTAAAAATGATATTATTATTTACTAGTTAACTAAAATACCAGATATGGTACATTGCCCACCCTCTCTGCTACACACTTCTAAAAGAGAACAAGTACATATGCTTTTTTTCTGTATTCAGTATATTCCTGTAGATTGAATCTTTATTAAAATATCTCTACAACTAGTGTAACAAAACCCTGCACAAGGTACTTGCTCTTCACTATTGTTTGATGTAACCCTGCAAATACTACTGGTATGTGTGAGTTTCAATTCTGAATGTCCTGCAAAATATCTCAGAAATAGGACATGTATTTGTAGTTTAAGTACAAGTTAGCCATGTTAAAGCTTAAGAACAATTTTATCTAAAATCCACTGAAGTTAGTCTGCTTCTCTAAGATGTTATGAGTGTTAGCAAATATTGGTACTATTTGGCTAGATACTTCCAGAAAAGTGCCTCAATGGCCAGGAAATAGTAGTTCCATGTTGAGTATTTTTTGGATATAAGTTTCATCTGATGGCATGTATTCTTTGGCTTTTTTGTGTGTGTGAAACGTAGTAGAAACATGTAGTAGAAAGAAAACAATACATAGCCCCATTTGTAATTACTTAATAGCATGAGTTCCTTTTCCCCTAAGCTATGCTGCTGCTAATTTTAAACTCTGCATTCTGCCTGTTCTCCTTCTGTTTACCAGCAGGCTTCGCTTTAATTTCCCAGAATATCAGCTAATATATAAAATCACCATTTACTGTGACTGTAAAAAGAACTTAACGTGTCCAGAGAAAGACAGTGGCCTGGAACAACAAATAACAAGAAAGATGCTGCTTTGTTATGAATAAGTCCCCCTGAGTGCATGGTGCTTTCTTGAAATGAAGAGGAAAGCCTTGTTTCTGGGTCAAAGAACTTGTGCTTTCAACCCATCTGTATTAAGATGGATTCATATAATAATGCATACTTTATCTATATCTGGTATGTCTGGAGGCTTCAGTCTAGAAGGAAATTTTCTATTTTGATATTTCTAAGACCACCTGTGCACATAGGTACCTTATGTGGTGTCCTTTTAACTCAGCCTTAGGTAATAAAGCTTTGCAATTTTCTTATCTTGCTTATATAAAACTAAAATACTGGCTTCTCTGCTGTGCCACCTCCTATTTCCCAGACTCATCTTTTAATATAGGGAATTATTTTGCTCCTGTTGTAAACTCATGGATCTTACATTGACAAGCCACCCATGGTCGCTTTTCAGTTACAAGCTTGCTTATGCACTGAAAGAGCAAAACTTTGATCTGGAGTTCACTGAGCCACATGAGGCAATAGCCTGAAAACTGCTTGTCCCCATTTTTTTTTTTTCTTTTTTAAACTAATCTTTATTAGGTTCAAGTACAGAACTAAATAGAGCAGTCTGTGCAGTTTGCAGTCTCACTCCATCAGTCTTACAACCAACTGGAGTCTGAACCTCTTTTTCTCCATACAAGAATCTGTCCTCAGATATTTCTTTTGACCCTGATAGTTTCAGATTAAGACCTCTGTTAATTGCTGAAGTTATGTCGTGAGTAGTTTACTCAAAATAGTTTTATCTGTGATTCTAAGCCCCTCCTACGCAGACTATTAGGAATAACCTTTGCTTGAAAGTTTTAGAATCTCAACATTTTTCAGAGCAAGGAGTGGGTTGGTTTTGGCAAAATGGTCATGGTTTATCACCTGTTGTTTTTTTCTCTGTAGAAGTACAAAATTTACTTCAAAGCTTGTGGAAAAAGTAACACTTCTATACTGGATCAAATATTTCACATGTGTTAGGGTACCTGAATCAGTACCTGGCAGACTTAAGCCATTGCCAGTTGGTGCTGAACAGAGAAGCACTACGAGAACAGCAATGGCAGGGATGTCTATGCAGTACTTAATGAGAAAATAGTGTAATACTTAATTAGAAAATAGTATAATACTTAATAAGAAAACAAACTGGAATTGGTTTGGTTTGTTCATTATTTTAGAACCACCTGCTCCTCCTTTTCTTCTGTTCTGTATTTAGTAACCATTAAAAGGTGGTTTGGTCTGTGCTGTGAAGTCTGCTTGTTTTATTTTAAAGACTCTCTCATGAATGCATGCTTTTTGTTTATAAGATTTTGAAACTTAAGACATCTTTTGATGAATTCCCCTCTTGTTATGTTTAGTTTATATACTGTGGACACTGTCATTTTTATACTGCGTGGCATCACCAGAGTTCTTCGTATGCATTGGTAGGGCCAGAGCTCCTTTAGACAGTGCAGATCTCTGACAAACTCTTAATAGTGAAATACACCCAAATCAGACTCTCACATTTACCTGTCATATGGAAAAATACTGTTCCTCAGTCCATGTACAAGTCCAGGACTGGTAAGTGACTTAAAGTTCAATATCCTCCAGAAACTTATATATGATACAACAGTGGTTTTATACCACAGGAGGGCTATTAATGCTTTCTTCTCAAATGCATGAAGTTTCTGTTTGTAGCTGTCATGAGTGGGAAATATCAGGCCTTAAAATATAGCATTGATTTATAGGAAGACTTGTCATTTTCAATTTAAGCACTGTTTTTTCCATCTAGTGTCTATACAGTTGAATATTAGAACTAAGTTAACCTGCTCTCCCACCTAGTATGGAAGGGGGAAAATCTTTTTTTAAGCTGACTGCAATTTCTTCCCAGACTCTGTAAAGTCTGGAGTGGATGTGTGAAACTATAATGATATGGAATAAAAAATTCATTACTGATGAACATCTCAAAAAGTTATTTTACTGTCTCTAATTAATATAAAATGGGAACATATTTGTAAACATTTGTAAAAAAATTGTTAGGTGTAAATGGCTTTTTCTGTTGTCTTTGGTGCTTTACCCATAGCCAGCTTCATTATAGTTGGCTGCAAATAAATTATTTTTCAGGCAGGGATAGTTGTGAGTGTGTGAGAGCACTGATTAGCCTGTATTATTGGTGGAAGAAATACATACTAGAATCTGATGGTTCTCTTGTGCATATAAAATCAGCCTCTTTTGAATTTACAGGCAGTGAACCTTTAGGTGTTACATCGATTGTGATGTTTATCTGCATTAGTTTTTGTCACTTGAATTTCATTCACATTAGAAGTCTGTGAAAGTGCTTTACTGAAAAATAAGCCTAGATGGAATTTGCGTATTTGTTTTTCTGCTCCTGAAATAATTTTTATGCATTCACACTTAAAATATTTTAGTAAGTAGGCTCTGGCTTTATGTATCTAGTAATAGTGTTGTAGGAATTTTACCTGAAAGAGACAAGCCATGAAGATTTTGTAGGGTGTGGTAGGTATTTTTTAGAATATCTAGTGTAGTTTGTAAAGAGGGGGAGATAAAAGAGAAACTCCTGTGTCCATTTAATGTCACTGGAAATTGTTTATAAAATCAGAGGATAATAATAGACAAAACCGTAGAATTTGTATAAAATAATTCATTTGCCTGATAATCTTGCCAACTCTGCTATCCTTTGACACTTAATTTCAAGTCAGTTTCAGTTCAGTAAAATTGTTCTTTAAAAATCAAGATTTAATTTTTACTTTTAAAGTATTAACAGTTCAGATAATAGTTGTGAGTATAAAATAACATTCTTTGTGAAAGTAGGTAACAATTTGCATTCATATAATAAAAATAAATTACATTTATTTTATGAATAGCAGTTTATTTCTTTGGAATTAAATCAGTGTAAGCTAATTATTTCTTCCTTTTAATCAATAGGAATTTAATAAAAAGGTGCGGAGCGGAGACACTGGTGCATAACTTGATGAATGCTAAATATAATAGAACTTGAAGTCAGTATTAAAATTTTGTAGCTGGAATGTTCTCCTTCCCAGACAATACTGTGACCAGCAAGAGCTAGGTGAGGCTAACGTGCTTATGAAAGTTTTGCAGGGACTTTGCTGAACAAGTATTCTTTACAGATGGCTGATAGGTGAAACTGTGAATGCACCACCAATGGCCCTTCCACTCTTTACTTTGGTTTATAAACAATATGAAAGCTAGATTTTGAAACAAATACCAGAATTGTTTGTTTCACCATATTAGAATATAAAGTAAGAGACGAGAATCCTGGGTGTCAATAGTCAGCCATTGTGTAGCAGGGTGGGGGCTGAATGTAGTACCAGGTAAGAGAGAAAGGTCTGTAGTAAGCAGGAGGCTGCATACTTGCAAATAATTCATAGGTCAGTTGTGTTTTGTACGAGATAATGTGAATCTTATACTTCTAAATTAAATTCACATGATGAAATACGAACATGAGGGATGCTGGAAAACTGAGCGTCACATTAAATGCTACCTAAAATTGGTGTATCATTTAAGAATTAGTGTTGGTGCTTATATGCACATAGCCTTCCCGAGTAGGTCAGTTTGTAATTTTAATGTGTTTGTTTTATTAAGGAATCAGCTGGAGGGGATATTCAGTCTCCTTTAACGCCGGAAAGTATTAATGGGACAGATGACGAGAGAGCGACGCCGGAAGTGACGCAGAACTCAGAACCAAGGGCTGAACCAACCCAGAATGCATTGCCATTTACCCATAGGTACAGATTCCATTCCCACATCCTGATTAAGTGAAACCTGGCTCCTTCCTCGTTAAAGGGACCTTCTCCCATATTGTGTGGGGAAAAAAAACAAGAACAACAAACCCAGCTGCCCCCCAAAAAACTGATCTGGCTTTCAGATTTGCAATATAATCTTGTTTTAAGAAAAAAAAAAAAGTATGAGAAAATCTCTTGGAATAAGATTTGGGGGAGTGTTACTTCATAGTTTAGTTGGCTTAACATGAGCACTTGAACAGTGGTTAGTGCGGGTGTCCCTTTAACAGGAAGCATTATTTAAATGTCTGAGATCTTAGTAAAATTAACCACTTTATAGAATATTCAATTTAAATTCTTTTTGCACACATTTTTAAAGACTGATAGAACTGGATATCAGCCTTTCATTGATGAGTTGTTGGAAGAAAAGGGACTCTTACAACACTTGTGGATTATGAAGTTTAAAGCAACCTTTAACTGAACAGTTCTCTGACAGTTGAAAACATTTTTCAACCTTTTTTGATACATAAGAGGAGCGTAGTTCTGCTTCAGACCAAATTACAATTCATTGCGCTAGGAATGCTGTGTTCTGTTATTCTTTAAGAAAGCTAGGACTTTTTATTTAATGACAGAAATAATGAGTTAAGCTGGATATATCTCGCCTATTAGAAATGATTGTAAATGGGTCACTCTCAATAAAACACATAATGTATTGAGACCATGGAGAGTAACCAAAACATTAAATAGACTTAGAAGAGAGCCAGAAATACTAGATTTATTTTTTTAAACATTGTCTAATTCAGTTTAAGTAGAGTTTAAGAGCTCTTGATCAAAGGTTGGGGAATACTAGGACATCAGATATGTCATGCAATTCAGAATGAGCAGAGATGGAACTGGAATTGTGGAGGACTTCTCAGTTTTTGTAAGAGAATAATACTATTAATACTATTAAACGTATCTGGAAAAAATAATACATGTTTTGAAATAGAAAAAAATTATACTTTTGCACTAATTTTTTACCAGAGTGGTTGTGTTTATTTTTATACTTCAGTTGTCACCAGTGCATCTATTATATGTTTTAGAAGAAATGGTGCTTTGTAAGAGTGTTATGTGCATGTTGAAGGAGTATTACAGATACTCTATCAGTGTTCTGTAACAAGTTCATTTAAACTGTTTGTGTGTTGGAATTCTCTATCAATATTTTTGTGAAAAGGAATTGTGATAAAGTCCACTCATGAGTAGTGTTGTTTGTTTTTTTAAAAAACAATAGCTACAAGTTCTCCCTTGTTGTTCTTCTGCATACATAAATATGTTTTCTAGTATGCCGGTATAGTAACTACACTTTGTTCCACATTGGGCATGACTGAAGATATGGTTTGAAACTACCCAGTTGTATTTTTTAATGAAGTGGAATAGAGGTTACAAAACTTCAATGTGTTTCACATTTTTCCATCTACTTCATGTGTACAGCGTGATTACCTGGTTTTAGTTTTTTGTCCTGTTAAATACCACTAGCTAGAATTGGTTTTCTGATAATAACTGCATTTTGAGGGTCCCTCCTCCTGATAATTCTCAAAAGACCAGAGTTTTGTCTTGGTAATGGTAGCTTGAAGTTTTTTCATGACCTGTTACTGAAGAAAATGCAAATTTTTGAAACTCTTTGAAATAAATTGAATTGTGTATTAGATAAGGTTTTAATTATAAATAAATAATTTACTTATTATTAAAAAATAAAAATGCATGAAACACATGAATGAAAGAGATGGAAAATGAAGTCTCCGGGATTGTGTTAATCCTGGTTAAATGGGCATGTTTTTGTAGAGGCATTTCATAATACTGAATTGGCAACTAGGTAGACATACCTAGCTGCTTGTACTGGCTGAAAGGGTGCTCTCTGCAGGAAGTCTGCTTGCCCTGAATTAAAATAAAAATTTAAAAAATTAAAACCTTACACCCCAGTCATTGGAGACTACCTGACCTTTTCATGTGTTAAGGGTACAGAAAGGGATTATGCTCCTCCTTGTTCTCTGCCCTTTGGATGATACTGTGTGTTGGTGGCACTCCATGTCTGATGGAGACGAGTTACTGAACTGAGCCCTTTCCATGTGCTCCCTGGTAACTCTTGCTGATCGCTGAGCCTCTTCCTCCTGCACCCTGTATTTCTGCAAAGGTAAAGTTTAGCCAGTGCTTCTGGGTGAGGAGTGTAACCTTGGAAGGGCATTTGAGTGTTGTCTTGTGCATGGCGATGCTTTTTAGATATTTGCCTTTGCTCCAGGAGCTGTTGATCAATTGCTAGGTGTTTTTCAAAACAAAAGGCGTTGTCATCTTCCCTCCAATGAGTTCAGCTGTAGGGGACATGAGAGTCATTGAGGATGGCTGTGCTTCACTGAAATAACACTGCTATAGCAAGTTCATTTCTTCCATACACAGGAAAGCTATATTCTGCTCTGACATCACCAGTACATACTTACCCTGTGAAGAACCAAAAGGAGTGGTTCTCAGCATAGGCTGGAGCACAGGGAAGGCATGTGTGGGGCTGCACAGCAAGAACCCAGGCAGCCATGGGGCAAGTGTTGGAGCTTTGTGGGCAAGGTGAGGTGCCGCGGCACTGCACGGCGAGGGTGGCTAGTGAGGGGGAACCATGTTGCTGCCGAGAGGGTCGTCGAGCTCAGCCAAGTGCAGGTGTCTCTGTGGCAGAGGACAGGGATACAAGTTTGAAGGGGACTGCTGTCACAACAGTGGTATAGGTGAGGGATTCCCATGTCTTTGTATGAACTGGAAGGGTCTGACAGGAGTTAACAAGGTCAGAAATCACAGAGGCGGAGGTTGTGCTTTAGTCTACATATTACTGCTTGTCATTTTCAATCTGCACACCTGAAAAATGTTCAGTTTGATTTTGTTGTAACACATCCTCGCTGGCTGGTTGTGTCCTCTCCTGCAAGTGTTCTTCTCTGTGCTTTTTATGTCTTAGCGTAAGTAGGTGGGACTTGTTATTTCAGCAGTGTAACTGTAGACTACATTGGTATTTATAGTTATTTTCTGACCAGTTACACCCAAAAGCCAAAAACTAGCATTATTTAAGTCACCAGAGCTTTGCTATTAGAACTCGAATTTCTTATTATTTCAGTAAATAATTGTAAGTATTGAACTGAACATTCTGCAGTATCTGTCTAAAATCCCACTCATATCCTCTGAGTGTAATAGAGCAGAAGCCTAGTTGCTTCAATTTATCCTCATCTGGAAAGTCCTAATGCTGTTCACAAGCAGTGTAACTCCAGTCAGATGCGTGAGAGATATAAATATTAAACAATTATGAGCCTTGCACAGAAGATAAACTCTTGCAATTAAACATCTTGCCTTTTTTAAAACTATCTGTGATGGTTACTGTTGAATTATGAAGTAATTTTACTTGGGAACTCCCACATCCTGTAATATACTATAGCCTGATGACTGCTTTCTGAACAAATGAAAGTAAAATGTAGCCTAAGCCTGGCACTAGAATTTTTAAAACTCTTGGATGAGACACTAATCAGTCCTTTTCTGAATGGTGGATAGTCCAGGAAGGCTTTTTTCTAACAGAATCTGGTTAATCAAATCTAATATTTAAAATAATGAAGACTAAAAAACCATACATAATTTCATTCTTAAGTAAACCTTTGTTTCCTCAGACACCTTTCCTGTTCAAAAAATATTTTCCACATTTTCTAGGTTGAGGTTTGTTTTTTTTCCCCAGCTAAAAACTGTTGCTCATAAAATGGGATTTGGAGTGAAAAAAGTTGCTAAAAAATTATAACTACTTATGATGTGACTGGCTTTTAAATAAAAGTTTTAATCCTGTTGGTGCTTAGTATACCATTCATGATCATTTGAATGAGCCCAAAGAATTACTATACTAAGCTTATTCAGCCTTAGAATATAATTCAAATGTTAAAACTGAACAGTGTATCTGGCAAACTCTGCAACTACTGCTTGGGGCTTTTTGGTAACTGGTGAACTTGCTCTATCACCCTTGAAGAGAATACATTTGTTTATAACAAACTTTATTCCATTTTTGGCACCTTATGAAGTTGATAAAACACATTTTCAGAAACAAAATGAAAAAGGATTCTTCTGGGACAGATCTCGAAAGTCTTCAATTTTCTGCCAACTGTGACTTGAACCTGTTACCTCGCTGTTTCTTGTAATACATAAACTTGGAAATTCTATTACATAATGTTTTGATCAGACACTATATATGTGTGTTTTCGTTTCTTGTTCATTAAAATTCCTATTTTTGTATTCAAACAAGTTTTTAATAGGGAATTTTGACTCTTTGTCTTAGAGAAAATGGACTTATTTAAAATGATGTTTATATCTTAGATATTATATTGTCTAGATAGCTTAACATTTAATAATGCTGCATGTAAATCGAATGCTGTACAACAAAGAAAAAACCAAAATCTTGCTCATAGCTCATGTTCCTTCACTGAGTTTTCATTAAAAGTTGTATGCAGAAATCCGTTTAGTAAATTTTTCACTTTGTGTATTGAAGCTACTCACTTCTACAAACTTAAATATTTTAGTTATGTTACAGTAAAGGTACTTTGTGGATCATGCTGAACTGTTAAGTTAGCTTTAAGAAAAAGTTTTAGTTAATAATTTTTTTGACGTTTTGTAATTTGAATTTATTCTCAAATCCTAGTATTTGGATGTTCTTTATAGGGGTACACATAGCTTCCTTACCAAGTAGTTCTGGGAATGTGTAATGCTTTTTTAAAAAAAATATTGGTTTTAACCTGATCATAGGATAATTTCTTGCTGTAAGGAAGCTCAGGAGCTCTCTAATCCAAGCTCCTGCTCAAAGAAGGTCAGCTATGAGATCAGGCTGCTCTAAACTTCAGAGCTCTAAAACTTCTAGAATGGAGACTGATAAAACTAGGCTTTTTAAAAAGGGTTCTCTAGAACATTAAAGGCAGTAACTGTCTTCACATTATTCAGTACTATAATGAACTGTGACATTTTAGGGA